CATACATGAGTAACTTTTGGAAGGCAGCTTAGATGGCACAGGATACAGTGCAGGGCCTCGAAGTCAGAAAGACGCATTTCTCTGAGTTCAAATCTGGCCTCAGACACTTACTAGCTGTGTGACTCTGGACAAGTCACTTAACCCTGTTTGCCTTAGTTTCCTCATCTGTAAAATGAGCTGGAGAAGGAAATGGTGAACCACCGTAGTATTTCTGCCAAGAAAATCCCAAATGGGTGATCCAACAACAGTAAAAACATATGTACATATATGTGTTTGTATATGTATATGTATGTACATATTTAGAATAACTAACTAGAATGTACAAATAATAAGTGTATCAGAGGAATGTAAAACATGGCATCATAGGAAGTCATGTTCTCTCGGAGCCTTCATTAAATCATTGCAAAATGAGGGCGAAGGCTGAGCTGATTTCTAAGGAGCCTTCCTTCTGGCCCTGAGACCCCGTGATCTGAGGTCAGTTCAATTCAGCCAATACTTCTCAAGCCTAAACCAGCCCAGACCCGAAGCCTTGGTACAGTGTTCTCTCTCTTTCCCTTCTCATTCTTTCTCACCCTTTCTCTCATCCATCCTCATTCTCTCTCATTTATTCTTTCATTCTCATATTCCCTCTTCTTCTCTCCTTCCTTCCCTCTCATCTCTCTTCCCCTCACTCTCTCCTTTTCATTCTTTTCTTCTCTCTCCAGCACTCTCCTCTCAGCCTGCATGGTTTTGCAGCTATGTATATGGTTCCAACCAGACCCAAAACATCTCATGGATTGTCTGAGTGGGAAGGGGTCTTTAAAATCCTCTTGCCTATCTACCTCCTTCATTTTGCAGATTAGGAAACTCAGGGCCAGGGATGGCCTGGGATTTGACCCGAGGCAATTCAGCCAGGGGCCCCGACCCTAAGTCCATCATTCTTCCCACTGCCCTATATTGCTCTCAACCTCCCTGTAGGTAGGGATCAGGCTACCTTATGCTGTGCTCTGTCCCCAACAGAGTGTCTCAGCCTAACGTTTGACAAAGCAAGTGCTCAACAGATGTTGACAGAATGAATGAATTCCTGTCTATGTCACACACATGGATCCTTTCTCTAAAGCATGTCTATCTCCTAACAGCCTCCGCATGCACCCTTGAGAATGCGTATGTTCCTTTGCTCATACACAGAGACACAATCTGGAAACAGAAGCCAAAGGCACCTTCTCATTCGTACACAGCCTCACGTTTATCGAGAGCAGGATGGAAAAGGCCCTGGGCCGGTGTACACACACCCTTGAATTGCCTCAGAGGTGCTGTCCCAGCCTGGGGCACCACCTCACCCCCCTAACCCCTGTCTTCAGGGACTCTGGCTGGCCCTCCTCCAGCTTCTTGGCCTGCTTAGCTTCCAGGGAAATACTCGTATTTTACATGAGTGCAGACCACAAGGGTCAGAAGGACCCAAAGAGACCACTAGGCCAACCCTTCCATTTAACTACTGGGGAAACTGAGGCCCTAAAAGGAGAGATGATTCACCTGAGGTCTCCCAGTGGGTTAATGGTGCAGCTGGATTAGAACTTCAGGGTTCCTGACTCCCAGCCCAAGGTTCTCACTCCTATGCCAGACTACCTCCTGAGTTTTCTCTGTATGGACAAAGAGTCTGGTCTTTGGAGGAGAGACTTTGGTGGGCATTACCCACCCAGCCCTGGACTCCTGGACTCCAGCAGCCTGAGCGCGCACACATTCATACACCCTCTTGGATGCACACACATGCACACGCACACACACACAAACACATACACACACACGCCACGTACACACTCATTTAGGGACGTCTGAGTATTTCTGGAGCAGGCCTCAGCTGTCTCAGTCTGAGGATGCCTGGTTTATATCAAACGAGGAAGATGGGAATTGCATGAGATTAGAGGCAGGGAATAGCACACAGAGCAGGGACTCCCCCCAGAGTCCCAAAGGGCCGGGCCTCCTCCTCCTCCAGCCTCCTGATCATGTAACACCTCACACATCCCACCCGAGCAGCCCACATGCTTTGGAACCTTTAAAGATACTAACTGGGAGGAAAAGCGTCCTGGCAAAAAGAGCCTGGTGGGGTTCTTGTGGGCAAAAGAAATTAGGCAGCGAGGATCTGAGGGCGTTTACTGAGGGCCTATATCCTAACGTCTGGTTTTGCCTCTGGGGGAAGTGAGGTCGAGCCAGCACTGAGTTCACAAAGAAATGGACAGCGTCAGAGCTGGAATGGCCCTTGGATTGGAGCCTTTTGTTGGCAGGAGACGCTGCAGTCCAGTGAGTGCAGGGCCTTCCTTATCCCAGAACCCCCGTGCGTAGAAAATTTTCTAATCGCTGAAGCACTCTCCCATGTAGGATCTCTGCCGCCCTGGGAATGAGACGGGGGCTGGAGGCAGCATGAAGCCACAGGGCCACAGGTCTGAGAGATTCGAGGGACTCAGAGAGTATCTGGTCCACATGGTTTATATTACAGATGAAGAGTGACTGAGCCCCAGACAAGGCAAGTGGCCTGTTTGAGGTCAGGGCTCAGCCAGGATTAGAACCCAGCTTTCCTGCCTCCTACTCCAGGGCCCTTCCTGCCTTCCTGCCCAGTGGATGACGCGAGACATCGTGATGCTGTGGTAAGAGCACTGGGCTGGGAATCAGAAGCCTTGGGCTTAGATCCCAGCTTGGCCACTCGCTACCCAAGTGACCTCACTGCTCCAGAGCTCAGCTTCTCCAACTATAACCAGATGTTGGAGGGTAGGGTGGGGAAGGTCTCAGTTTCTCCACCTGTAAAATGATGGGGATGCAAGAAGGGAGGCGTTGTACCAGATGATCTCATAGCACCCTCCCGGTTTCAAATCCCGTGATCCTGAATTTCTGGTACTGGAGGATTTTGGAAACCCACAGCCCTGGGGCAGTGACTTGAGCAGCCTCTCTGGCCAATGTGGTCACATCACACTTTCCTGGCTTGTAGCCATGAGAATGGAGCCCAGAGTTATCTGACTAAAATCTCCTGGTTAATGATAATAATAGCTGCTAGCATTTATAAAGTACTTTAGGACTTGTAAAGAGCTTGACAAATATTATTTCATTTGATCCTCACAACAACCCTGGGGAAGGGCTACTATTATCATCCCCATTTTACAGAAGAGGAAATTGAGGCTGAGAGAGGTTAAGTGATTTGCCAACAGTCACCAGCTAAATGTCTGAGGCAGCATTTGAACTCGGGTCTTTCTGGCTCCAAGTCCAGTGCTCTATCCACTGAGGGAAAAATGAGAAGTGACATGCCCAAGGTCACACAGATAATAAATGGCAAGATCTGGATTTGAACCCAGATCCTGTGCATTCCACTGGCTTTCCCTTAGAGTGAGTGCCACAGAGATGTTACCACACACTGCCTGCGACTGCTTTTTCAGCAGTCCTATATGGGGGTCTTGTCTCCTTAATGAGAGGAGAAAATCCTTGGGGAAATTCTACCTAGACCGGATAAGAAACCTGCCTTCAGATACTGGCTGGGATGGGTTGCATGACTCTGCGTGACCATGAGCCTCTGTCTTTCCACTCATAAAATGGGGGCAGCTAGTCTCAGTTTCTAGCTGCTGTGAGAAAAGGACTTGGCAAAGCCTCAATTTCCACAGTAACATCCTTTCCCAGGTCTTCAGTGTCCCCTCTCTAAAATGGGCAGCTCACCCTCCTCCAGAGCTATGTGGCACAGCTCCCTGCAAACTGTGGAGCATGAGGGAAGCAAAGATGTTGTTGTCATACCCCTGCTGTCTTCCCAGCACAGCGTTAGGACCGTGGCACCCTGGATCTTCCCATGTCAGAACGAGAAGGGACCTTGGAACATAGCGTGTCAGAGCTGGGAGGGTCCTTAGAACCCAGAATGTGAGAGCTGGGAGGGACCTTAGAACACAGGATGTCAGTGCTGGGAGGGTCCTTAGAACATAGAATGTTAGTGCTGGGAGGGACCTTAGAAAACAGAGCTAGGAAGTCCCTTAGAACACAGGACGTTAATTTTGGGAGGGATCTTAGAACACAGAATGTTAGGGCTGGAAGAGATCTTAGAAGATGGAATGTTAGGGGCTGGCAAGGACTTTAGAACACAGAACACAGATCGTCAGTGCTGGGAGGGCCCTTAGAATGGAGAATATTAAAGCTAGGAGAGACCTTAGGACAGAGAATGTCAAAGGTGGGATAGCTCTTAGATCAAAGAATGTCAGGGCTAGAAGGAACATTAGAACATAGAATATCAGTGCTGGGAGGTGCCTTGAAACACAAAATGTTAGGATTGGGAGGGACTTTAGAACATAGAAGGTTAGAGCTGAGAGGGACCTTACAGCACTGAATGCAGACTATTAAAGCGGGGAGAACTCTCAGAACAGAGAATGTCAGAGCTGAGAGGGGCCTTAGAACATGGAATGTAGTGCTAGGAGGGCCCTTAGAACACAGAATGTCAGAGCTGGAAAGGCCCTTAGAACACAGAATGTCAGTGCTGGGAGGGCCCTTAGAACACAGAATAGCAGCCCTGGGAGGGTCCTTAGAACATAAAATGTGAAGGCTGCGAGGGCCCTTAGAACCCATATAGTCCAAGCACCCTTCCCATAGCTGGGGGAGGCAGAGCCAGAATTCAAACCTAGGTGTTGCCATTCCCAAGCCAGTGCTCTTTCCTCTCCCCACAACAGAGGTGGGGACACTGAAGCCCAGAGAAGAGAAGGGTCATGACCAAGCCACAGGCATGGGAAGAGCCCAGGCTTCCTGACCCCAACTGAGCACCTGCCTCTCTTGACTCCTGAACAGGAGATGACACACTGCCCTCTAAGCACTGGGAGTGGAGGCTGAGAGGAAGCCCTCCTATGGTGCTGCGGGTGGGGAGGGAGGGAGGGAGGAGGAGGAGGAGGAGGCGTGCAAGGAGGCGTGCAGAGGCCATGGGCTTTGAGGGGGATGAAGCACGGCACGGCACGGCACGGCACGGCACGAGAGGCAGGGATCGGGCATCAGGAGGAAGTGGTACTCACGTATTCAGCTGTATCATCTGTTTCCCACTGGGCAGAGAAGGAAAGAGGAGTGAAGGTGAGACCACAAGGAAGCTGGGTGGGCACAGGGGAGAGGAGCAGAGGAAAGGGAGGGAGACAGACAGAGAACCCCAGGAAGAGCCAGGGCAAAGGACAGAGAGAGAAGGAAGAGCGTGGATGGCTGGGAGGAGGGAGGGGGAGTCGTAAGGAAGACGTGTCTATACTAGCTAGAGGAGGTGAAGTGCCAGAGCCAGCAGAAGAGAGAGAAGAGGAAGGAGGCAGTGCGGGTCTGGGGGCATCTCCCCGGTGCGCGTCGGGTGGCTCCGAGCCCTGGTCCTGTCCTAGCTCGTCCTGCCCGCCCCTGCCTCCGGTCCCGCCCGCTCCACGCTCACCAACCTGGGCATCAGCCAGCATGACGTCTTTGATCTGGGGCAGTCCCTTGGCCTCGCCATTCTCCATGCGGACATAGTGGACCTGGTAGCCTCGGATCTGTCCGTGCTGTCGGCTGGGGACAGGTGAGCGCCACAGCACCCTGATGGCTGTGGAGTTCAGCACCTCCACCTCCACCTTCCGAGGGGGCGCACTGGGCACTAGAAGGACAGGGAGATAGGGGGAAGGAGGGAAGGGAGGGGAGGGGGTGGGGTCCAGGGTTAACACCAGCCGGACCCCTGGCCACCACCTGCTAGCTGGGAGCCACGAATACCATGGAGTTCCTGTGGCTCTGAACGTGGGCAGGTTGGGGCTGGGTCTGGGGGCTCTGAACCCTGAACCCACATAGCTAACCCTGCAGGGAAGGTGGCAGCGGGAGTCAGAGCCGGCAGGACCCTGGAGATCAGACACTGTCACTCCCTCATTCTGCATGGGAAGGGACTGAGGTTTTGCATCCAAAGACACGGGGCTAAATCAGCGGCAGAGCTACGCTGTGGACGTGGGTCCTCTGACTTCAAATCATGCCCGGTCCTGGGCTGGGGAGGGAGGGGGCAGAATCCAGACCACCGTCCAAGGGAGGCTCTGCCCCGGGGGGGCATCTCTCAGAAGGGGCCCCCAGTCTGTCAGAGTTAGGGTGTCTCTGGGACACTCATTCCCAGACTGGGCTGAATGCACTTCTCTGGGAAGCCTAGAGTCCAGCTGGCGTGTGTCACACCCACAAGTTGACTTAACAGGCCTTGAGGGTCTCCGCCTGCTCCTATCAACTCCGTGGCTCCCTCAGTGCCTCCCTGAGGCTGTGAATGGGACCAGAAGGGATCGGGGATCCCTCTCCGCCGTCCTTGGGTAGCCCCTCAGGGGGTTGGCATGGGGTGAGGCTAACGGCAGGGATCTTCTGGAGGATCGAGAATGCTCAAGCCTCTTTGGACAGAACAGGCTCCTTCATGGGGGAAAACCAAACCACCCCCACTTCCCCTACACCTGACCTGCTTGGTGCCATCACCCTAGGGGGAAGGCAGGGCAGGTATGATTATCATACCAATCTGACAGACTGGGAAACTGAGGCCTAGAATGAGGACAGAAAAGGAGCTGCATGGTCATGGAGAGTGTCAGGGCAGGGACCCGTTCCTGGCCTCCTTACTCTCGATGTGGGGCTCTTCCCAGAATCCCAGAATAGTAGGTGATTGTATGAGGTGTAACGTGAAATATTACACGATTACATAAAAAGGACTAGTCCAACTCCCTCATTCTATGGAGGTGAAAAATGGGGCCTAGAGAGGGGACCTGGCTTCTTACTCACATGGCTAGTGTTGTGCTAATTTGGACCATATTTTTTAAATTTTTAAAAAATAAATAAAGGTGCGACGATGGTGGAGACTAAGGAACCGAGATGGAAGACAACTAGCTTTGGGTCACTCTGATAATCTAGGACTTCAGACACTGGCTGGACCTTGGCCACACTGGGCCTTTCCACCCCCCAGTTACTTACATTCTTGCTTTCCCCCTGCGGCAGTGTGTGGGTGCCTGCTGGGAGGAAGCCCCTGCCCCCAGCCCTGGTCACTGGACCCGGGTCTCGTGAGGGAGCAGGAGCTGGGGCCCCCCTCCCCCCGGCCCCCGGGGCCCTGGGGGATATTTACCGTCTTCATCGGTGCGGATGATGATGGGCGAGCTCTCGGGCCCTGGTCCCACGGCCGTGTGGGCCACCGCGGTGATGCGGTACTCAGTCCACTTCTCCAGGGACTCCAGGAGGATCTGCGTGGTGCTGGGGGGGATCTGCTTCACCTCCCGGGGATGTGGGTCCTCAGAATCCAGGGCTCGGTAGCGCACGCTGTAGCCCGCTAGGTCACCATTTTGGCTCTCGGCGGGCGGCGGGCGCCAACTTACCAGAATGGCCGTGGATCTGGTGCTGACGCATTTTACGTCTTGAGGGGGGGCAGACGGTTCTATTGAAGGGGGAGAATTGTGGGGGGGGGAAGGGGAGGGAGGGAAGGGAAGGGGCAAGGGAAGGGGGAAACAAAAGATGGGAAAGATAAAAAAAAAAAAGAAGATGATAACAAAACAAACAGAAATAAAACAAACCCAAAATGAAATAAAACAAACCCAAAATGAAATAAAATGTGTGTGGAAAAAAACAAACTCAGCTCTGAAATGAAAAGCCCAGATGTAGTGGAATGGCCCCTGGGTGGAGGGTCAGAAATGAGACCAGCCCTTGCCCAAGGAACCAAACCAAAATCTGGCAGACAAGACGGGGGATGCTAGCCAAGAGTTTTGTCTCCCTCTGGAGAAAGGCCTCTGAGTTCTGGGCTGCAAGGGCCTGGGAAAGGCAGAACAGACAGAGCCTTCCTCCGAAGGACTGGAGAAATAGTGGCCCAAAGTGGGGATAAAAGGGAGATGGCTCTGAGTCGGTGAAAAACACTCCTATAGTCTTCCACCTTAGAATTGGAGCCTTCAGCGGGAACTGATTGGAAGGAGATGCTGAGACCCTCACATGAAGGAAGATACCTAGAACCCTTCTCTAGCCTCATCTGGAGTGAGAGACCTAGGCACCAACCCCAGTCTCACCTGAAGAGAGACATCTATAACTTCTTTTGGTCTCACATGGAACAAAATGCCTAGAACCCTTCTAACTCCTCACATGAAGTGAGAAACCTAGAATTCTTCAGTTTTGTCTGGAACAAGATACCCAACTATCTTCTCTGTCTGGAACAAGACACCTAGAACTAAGTTTCACATATAGTGAAATACCTAGAACTTCCCCATACTTAACATAGAAGGCATTTTGCCTTTCCCAGCCTTGCCTGGAACAAGATACCTAGGAACCCTTCCCACCATCCCTTGGTAAGAGGCACCCCAAACTCTTCTTGAATTTTATCTGGAGGAAGGCATTTAGAATGACATACCTAGAGCCCTTCTTCAATCTGAGAAACTGTGTGATATACCTGAAACCTCTAACCTCAGAATCACCTTAAGAACATTACTTAGAAAGCTCCTCTAGTCTCAACTCGAGTGAGATACTTAGAATCCTTTTCTAGCTTCAGAATTTTCTAGCTTTCTAGAATTATCCAGCTTTGTCTAGAGTAAGATACCCCAAACCCTCTCTCTGCCTTGCCTGAAATGATACATCCAGATTTCTTCTCAGACTTTGAAAAAATAAGTCACCCAAACTTTTCCTAGCTCCCCCTAGAGCAATACACCTAGACTCTTCTTCCAGACTCACTTAGAATGAGTCAGCTAATACCTCTCCCCAGTCTTGCTTGGAATAAGTCACTTAAAACTCTTCTTTACGTTTGTCTAGAGCAAGGATCTAGAACTCTTTTCCAACCATGCTTGAAATTACTTAGTAGAAACCTCTGCTTTACCAGGAGGGAGATGCCCAGATTCCTTCTCCAGTTTTGCTTGGAATGGGATACCTAGAAGTCCTTCCTTGTCTTCCCTATTTTGGGGCAGCTAGAACCTTTTCCTAGCCTCACGTGAAACACACTTAGACACCTCTGCCAACCTCATATGAAGTGACACACTTATTAAGCAGCACCAAAAGGGAGACTTAGAAACCTTCCCCAGACTTGAGTAAAGTGAGTACCTCGAACCTCTTTCCAGATTTGCCTAGAGCAAGAAACCTAGACTGCTTTCCCTGTCTCCCTTGAAGCAAGACATGGCCTGTGATTTTAGCTTTGCTTGAAGTAGGATACCTAGAAACACGTCGTAGTCTTGCCTGAAGCAACACTCTTAGAACCTTCTTCTACCTTGCCTGGAAGGACACATTTAGAAGTAGAGGATTTTTTTTTTCACCCAGACTTGACCAGAATAAGAAGTCTGGGACTCCTCCTCCATCTCCCCAAACTCCTGGCTAGTAATCCCAACCAAAGCAACCAAAAAAACTTAAAAACAAATCCAAGGAACTGTGGCCTATGGAAACAAACCAAAGTGTTTGAGGAAATGAAGGATTGAGCTAAAAAGAGGAAAAAAAAAACCAAATCATAATAAAACAGACAATGGCAATAATAATAATAATCATAATTGTAATAAAGAAAGAAAGACGGACAGATAGAACGAGCGCCTTCCAGAAAACTCCCAGTCTTGGTACGTACCTTCCACTCTTCAACTGCTAATTTATAAAGACTTTCTTACGAGGGAAGGACAGAAACTGAGCTAGGAGGCCAGACCGAGCTCGTGATGGGTCTCCGGAGGCTGAATGGCGCTAGGCAGGGCCCTGCATTGGGAAACCCAGAGACGAGTGTGCAAAGGTTTCTCTGGGAAGGGCTCAATACGGGGACATAGGCCCTGGGATTCAAATTGCTCCGCTTGGCCCTGGAGGGCAGAATTAGGAGCAATGAGGGGGAAGTAGGAGAGGCAGACTCTGGCTGGATGTCTGTCTACACAGGAAAAAGAAAACTTTCTAATGATGAAAACTTGTCAAAGTGAAACGAGCTGTTTGGCAGCTGGTAGTGAGCTCCCTATCATTAGGAGTATCTGGACAGGAGCTGGATGATCCACTCGTGAATGACTGTTAGAGAGGAGGTCCCTTGGAGTTCTGAGATCTTGTGATTGTGTTGGGGAGTGCTGGGTGGAAGGGAGGGCTTGGGGTCTGCAGTTCCCCTCCTCATCATCTGTCCACCACTTTGGTCACAGGACTCAGCGTTAGGAGAGGGCTTATGGACCATCTGTTTTACACTCTTCTATTTGACAAAGGGGAGCAGGCGAAACCCAGAGAGAGGAAGGGGTCACAAGCACCGAGCTTTCTGGCTCCAGGGGCAATGGAGTGCATTTACTAGAGTGGGCAAGAGCAAGTCACCCTGGGCCTCCCATGTCTGGTGAAGGGTTGTGGTTGCTTTTTCAGAAACCCACTGCAGAGAAGGTCTGGCCTCAACCTACCCTTGCCATCCGGGCCTAAGGGGCTGAGCCCCACTGTGACATGCCTGGCCTTCCTGTCCTCAGACTCACTGTGCCCATTCCTTGGACCCACTCACTCACCCGCTCTGATCCAGGAGGGCCCAGCCTCATCCCCCAACCCAGAGAGCAGGCCCTTCTGCACAGGGCCCGGCCTCCTCCTGATAAATCACGGGGTGGTGAGGCAGGGGTGGCACTGGGGGAGGGAGAGGAAGGAGAAAGGGAGAATCTTCCTCCCTTCCTGCCCTGCCCCATAGGCCAGGGACCCACAGGATAGAATGTTGGCTGCTCAGAAATGGACCCCGAGTGCCAAGCAGGCTGAACCTACTTCCTGGGGGGAGCTCAGGGCATTGCCAGTTTCCTTCACAACCCAGCCCAACCTGCGTGACTGCTGTGGAATGGGCCTACCAGAGCTTGGCGATCAGCACCTTGACATGGACAAAGCACATCTGCATTTCATAGGACTTCAGAGTTGGCAGGGAACATCTAGCATAGCCCCCCTCATTTTACAGATGGGGAAATTGAGGCTCACAGAGAGTGGAAGGGGCTTGCTCAAGGTCACAGAGTCAGAGATTTGGGAAAGGAACTTAGGACACCATCTGAGATTTGAGAAGGGAACTTAAGAGGCCACCTTGTACAGTTCCCCTCATTTTATGGATGGGGAAACTGAGGCTCAGAAAGGAAGAGGCCTGCTCAAAACTGTAGGGTCAAAGATCTGGCTGTCTAGGACAGCCCCTTTATTTTATAGAGGAAGAAACTGAGGCTAGATAGGAGAAATGACTTGCTCAGGGTCACATAGGCAATAAGGAGCAGAGGCCAGATTTGAATCCAGATCTTCTCACACTGTGAAAGTGGCAGACCTGGGGATAGAACACAGGTCTCTGGGCCTCCTGGTACATTCCACTGCCCCTCCTGTCATCCCTAGAGAGGTCAGTCATTTAGGGAAGGTCCTAGAACCGGCACCCAAGGAAGAGCACATCTGTGGACTGAAATTCCCGCTTCAAGACCTGCCACACTCCTGGGATGGGAGGGGGGGGGGGGGGGGGCACGCAGGGTGAGCTGTATTTGTGAATCTGCTTGAGCCCAGCCCGTACTCACCTGAAATGCATCTTTTACAGGTTCAAAGTTGACTGCCCAAGCCACAAGGATGGCCCTTACTGACCTCGGACGGAACCACGTTTTTAAACCTTTAAGTACCATAGACTCGGCGCATCCTATGAGGCTCCAGGAATCGGCTGGGGGAGAAGGGGGGAGGGGGAGGAGACAGGGGAGGAGAGGGGAGGAAACCCCATCTCGGGGCGCGGGGTTGGAGAACAAGCCTGGAGTGCCCCAGGCCACCGGATGCCAGCGGCTCCAACTCCTCTGGGCTCCCGTGAGCCGGGCACCGTCAGACCCCTCGCTGCTTCCCTGGCCCTCCCCTGCATTGACTCAGCCCAGGGTGGCTCTGGTTAGTGATGATGCCCCCAGCACCGGGCATGGGGACAGAGGCAGGGGAGGTCGGCGCTGATGACTAGAGGTCTGTCTCTGGTACTTGAAGGGTTTAAAAATCCCAGAAAGACAGGAGATACTTTACCTTTAGTTTAATGGATTTAACAGAAGGAAAGGGTGCTGGGAGTAGAAATGCACGTTGGAGGGATGGCGGGGAAAGAAGGGAGGCAGAGAGAGGAAGGCTTGGGAGGGACAGCCACAGCTTCCCCTCTGCCAGGCTGGGGTGTAAGGAGGTGAGCGAGGGGGATGAGAGCGGAGTGGGGATGAGACAATGGACTTTGTGGGGAGGGAGGAGCGGAAAGCAGGTGTGAGCTGGTACAGAGCATACCAAGGGACGGTGGGCAGATGCCTGGATGGATGGAGAGGAGGAGGGGGCTAGGAGACAGGCCAATAATGATAACAGTAATAACAACAATGATGACAGCTCGCATTTGTACAGTGCTTTGTGTTGGAAAAGCGCTTTACAAGCATTATCTCATTTGGATCTCATAACAGCCCTGGAAGGTGGGTGCTTTTATTATCCTCTTTTTTGGACGATGACATTGAAGCTAAGCGACTTGGCCAAATCCACACAAATAGGAATCACCTAAGCCTGGATTTGAACTTGGGTCTTATCCCTTCCAGGTTCAGCCCCAACTAGCCGGACAAGAAGCCAAGAGAGATGTTTGTAGAACCAGAATGGCCCAGGCCTTCCTATGTAGTAGTGGTGCTCAAATGAATCTGTTCCTGTTACCCCATGACCCTGGAGTCCCTAGAATCAGACACCCCGGAGACTCCTCCTCCCAATCCCCGCACCTGCTCCCCAGTTTTATAGAGATGGCGTCAGCCTCTCCCTGACTGTTGGGGCTGCGTGGTCTCTGCCCTGTCCCCACTGATCCTGAGACTGACCTTGGCCAGGGCAGGATCAGAGGACATAGAGGCAAAGTGGTCTTAGGCACCATCGTGGCGAACCCCTCCATGTTACAAGGGAGGAAATGGGGGCTATCCCACAGATGGGGTGGGCAAACGTGAGAAGCTGGGTCATCTGAGCCCAAATTGAGAGCTCTCGCCGCTGACCGGGCTGCCTCAGGTTCTAGAATCTTTTAGACGTGGAGAGAAGATGGAAGAGTGATCAAAAATGGACTCCAGGTGGGATCTGAACCCAGATCTCTGGATGCCAAGTTCTTTGCTCTTCTTCCCCACCCCTCTTTTTAATTTGTTTTTCAATAATAAGTATTTATTTTCTCTTTTTCCTGACTCCCCTCCCCACCCACCCTTTACATTAACCATACCAGCCTCCTGAAGGGTCTTAAGGAGTTCTAAGATGCTGGTCTCTCCCTTGTGTGTGTGTGTGTGTGTGTGTGTGTGTGTGTCTTCTCTACTGTAAGCTCCTTGAGAACGGGGACTGTTCCATCTGTGTGCTTGCACTTCCTAGGACAGCGTGCTGTGTGAACTGGAGCTAATCATCTATAAAATGGAAATACTCAGAGTACCGCCTCTCAGGGAGCTATAAGGATCCACTGAAACATTGCACACGCACAGTGCTTTGCAAACCTTACAGCACTTGACAAATGCGGCTCTGACAATGATAATGCCTGGAACACAGTCGGTGCTTAATAAATGCTTGCTGACTGATAGTGGATGGTCCTGCCTGGTGGTTGTCCCCCTTCCCAACAGTGGGGCAATGGGTCCCAATGGAGAGGAGAAGTGTGGCCAGGGCTGCCTGTCCGTGCCCTGGGCTAGTTCTTGACCACAGACAGCCCAGGGCCCAAGACATGACCCAGTGGTATGAGAGGAGATGAGAGAAGAGGGGAGCAGCCACGTGTGCAATAAGGCTGCCCTCGGTATGGGATGGTGGTGTTGGCCCACAATCCATTAAACTAAATAGCTGGCTGTCTCTACTGGAACCTGGGGGCGGGGAGCAAGGGCACACCCCCCCCAGACCCTAGTGACACCAGCTCTGGCTGGAGCCCAAGGTTACACAGCTGCTAACAAGCGATGGCAGGTCAGAGACTTCAAATCCAGGGATCCTTCCACTACTCTGGGCTGCCTCAGTTTCTTAAATCCCTTAGTGGCAACAGGAGAACCAGGGACCAGAAATGGGCTCTGGCCCAGCCCTCCCTGAGCCTCAGTGCTAGAGGGCTTCACTCCATGCTGGTCGCACCCTCCCTTGGGATACACCTCAGAGTCATGGAACTATAGGGGATTCCAGAGACTGGTTAGTGCACAATCCAACCTCTTCCCCACACTCCCCTTCACCTTCTCCCATTTTGCAGATGGGAAAAATAAAGCCGAAAAGAAAAGGGACTTGCTAAGGTTACGATGCAAGTTGATGGCAAAGGAGAGACTGGACCCAGGCGTACTGATTCCCATGCCAAGTGTCTGCATGAGATCGTCTGCTATGCCCCAGCTAAGGCAGGGGCTGAGAGGGAAGGGGAGGAGTTCCCTGAGTGTCCCCAGGCCCTGGTGCCCCAGGAGGACTCTGACACGACACCCTCCCTCCAGCCCGCTCTGTCAGCTACCCTCTGGCCCTGACGACTGGTCCTTTCTTCCTCCTCTCCCCGTGAGGTTGGGTCCATTCCACAGGCCCGAAGCTCTCTGGGATGGGCGGGTGGAGTGGGACGAGGAGGGGGGCCCTGCCTGGCTCCCCTCCCTCACAGTAGGGCCGGGACAGGAGAGACACCTACTAGACTGGAGAGTGCGCTGCCTGACCTCCGAGGTGAAGGCCCCCAGGCCTTGTGCGGAGCGGGCTGCCAGGCGGAAGGTGTACTCCGTGTTAGGCTTCAGGTCTTCCACCACGAACCAGGTTGTGGGGCCGAAGTTTTTCCCTACCTAGGATTGCAGAGGGCATGGAGAGATAAGGGGAGGGGGAGGGAGAAGGAAAGGGGGAGATGGGGAAGGAGGAGGGAGATAAGGTGAGAGGGAAGAATAAGGAAGGGAAAAACAGGGAGAAAGGAGAGGGCGGGGATGGAGAAGGAGAAAGCAAGTGGGGAAAGGAAGAGGGGGAGAGAGGGGGAGAGAAGGAGGGAAGAAGGGAGGGAGAGAGGGAAAAAAGGGGGAAGGGAGGAGAGAGAGTGAGAGAATGAGAAAGAAAGAGGAAGGAAGGAGAGAGAATGAGAAAGAACAAGCGACAATGAGAGTGAAAAGAGACAAGAGACCCTCAGATAGGGCTGGCTTCGCTGAGGCAGCGACGCCCTCGTGGCCTGACCTGGCCCTGGCCCTGGCCCTGGCAGCAGGCTGAGCAGCCCCCCCACTGTTCCCCCACTTTTCCCACCCCTGCCACCCCAATCCCACATCCTCCAGGGCGGTATACCTCTCTGCCACGGTCTCCTTCCCGGTAGAGCAGCTCATACATCACTACACTCTCTTGCCGAGGCGCGCTCCAGGTAAGGCTGATGCTGGTCTCGGACTTGGCTTCTGCCCGGAAGTTCATGGGCTGTCCGGGCACTGGCGAGCCAGGGATGACCAGAAGTTAAGGGAGATGAGAAGAAAGACAGGAATGCATTGAGAGGCTGCCTCGCAGGATCGCAGTACTATGGCTAGTAAAGGGCCTGAGCGGGCATCTCTAGTCTGACCTCATCTTACAGAGAGGAGAGGATTCTTGCCTAAGATTGCATAGCTCATCAGTTTTAAGATCTGAGCCTAGGTGTGGCTCCAGATCCAGGGCTTGGACACAGACCATCCCATTTCCAGACCCAACTCTGGGGATGACCGTGGGGAGTGGTCATTCCTCCAGCTGGTGACTCACCTCCTTGCTGCGTTTTGACCTGGATGGGATCTGAGAGGGGTCCGTCACCCACAGAGGTGAAGGCCAGGACTCGGACAGTGTAGGTCTCATCTTCTAACAGACTGCCCACGGTCGTCAGGAGACTGTCATCCACGTTGTGTTTCTGCCAGTTCCCAACAGGGTGGTCGGGCTCCATGGTGTAGTAAACGCGGTAGCCACGGATCAGGCCATTGGGTTCCACTGGCTCCTCCCACTGGATGATCATGGTGGTGGCACTGAGCATACGGCCCTGTACATTTCGGGGGGCGCTGGCTGGGGCCTGCTCCCCAGTCCGGGTCACTACCGACTCGCTGGGAGGGCCCTGCCCTATGGTGTTGACGGCCGACACCCAAATCTCATACTCCGAGTTGGGGCTGAGACCTCCAATGCTGTAGCGTGTGGTGGTGATGTCCTCTTTGATCTGATAAGGACCATCTTGGCTCTTGGACTTGTACTCAATGACATAATAGGACACGGGGTCAGGGTTGCCTGAGTCCCATGTGATGGTGATGCTGGTGGCGGTATTCTCTGTCACTACTGGGGTTCCGGGGGCCTTTGGGAGGGCTGGGGAGCAGGAGAGATCAGTCAGTCAACCAACAACCACCTATGACGCACCTACTCTGTACAAAGCACTCTAAATACAAACCAAGGAGAACATGGCAAAGAAGAGAGAGGCCTAATGACGTCGTTCTCCTGCTCAAAAAACTTCAATGGCTCCCCACCGCCTCCTTCCATCGACATCTGAGGGATACTCCCCTCCTCTACAACTTGGCACCAAGCTCTCTTTCAGGCCTGATCTGCCCTCCCTCATCATCTCCCCTTTGGCAATCCTTCTCTTCCTTGCAGGCTCAGGTCTATCTCACCCCTCACCCCGTAGCCCCATACACATTTCCTGCCTTTCTAAGATGCCTTCTCTGATCTCCTCTCCCCTCGCTTCAGACCTTACGTGGCTCTCTGTTTCACACTTCTCTGACATCATACGTTACAGGTAAATAAGCATTAATGTTGGCATCCTTTGCCCCAAATGACTGTAAGCCTAATGAGGGCAGTGACCATGTCTTATTTAAGCCTTGTGGCTACTTCAGCACCAGGTACAGGGCTCTGCACCCAGTAGGTGTTTAATACATATTCAATAAATTGAAGTGAATTCTGATGGCTCTCCATGCTGGCCCAGAGAGCTGTCAGAAGCCAGTGGGTAGGGGAAGGGGGAGTTTAGGTCACTTAATCCTTAGGTCAAGCTTGCCAAGGATATGGTTTAGAGGTCCCAAAGAGGGAGTGGCCCTTCTTTGGTGTTTCAAACAAATCTTATGATTGAGATTTTGTCATGACCATTTTTCATACATGGAAACTGAGACTGAAGGAGGAATGGCTTGTCTGAGGTCACAGAGCAGATCAGTGGCAAAAACAGAACCAGAGGGCCATTGCCAGGGGGAATTCTGATGTGGTGGAGGGCCCCGGTGGCCACTTACACTTCACGGTGATCTGCGCCACAGCCTCGATGACGCCCAGGCTGGACATGGCCACGCATGTATAGTTGGCTGAGTCTTTGACATCAGTGAGCTCCAGGACATTCCGCCCGACAGGCATATCATCCTCGGGGGTCAGGTCCTCGGCCCCCTGCATCCACTTGACATAGGGCATGGGGGAGCCCACGGCCACACAGGTGATGTTGACGTTGCCTCCGGGCATGATCTCGTGGCTGACGGGCAGGATGGAGAAACGGGGGGCCACCCGGCGTACTGGGGATCGGGGGGAGTGGGGCCAGATGTACAAGGGGAGGAAACAGGAAAACAAAACAAAAAAAAGAACAGAAAGGAAAAGAAAGAAAGAAAGAAGGAAAGAAAAAAAGAAAAACAGGGGAAAACGATTTCAATACAAAATGGGCTCTTTCCTCCCCCCCTTGAGTTTTTTAAAAAACAAAACAAAAAAAATTAAAGGAACAAAAAATTAAACACAAATAAATAATAATATCAAAATAATATACTTCACAACAATATATATATATATCATAGACACAAAGCGATTTTTCATAGCAACAGGGCTCCATTGATCAAGGGTAGACCCATCACAGCACAGATAGTGACACAAAAATTTATCAGTCATTTCTCATCTTTACTGACAGATCCGGCTTCCCTCGCCCTAAACAGACAGCTCTTCCTAGGGTCCGGGGTGGGGACGGTGGCAATTCTCTACTCCTGACTTGGGCTATGCAATTATCTAGTCTCGGCGTGCACCTCCAGAGAGGCTGGGGAGGCCTGCAGAACTTGTGGCCTAAGAGGGGTGTGTGTGTGTGTGTGTGTGTGTGTGTGTGTGCGCGCACGTGCACTCTTGTGCACAGTAGGGGAAGGTTCGGTGTCTCAGCCCTTAGGAACTAAGGGTTTCCTGGTCAAGGTGAGGAGGGATGTGCAGGCAGGAATCTTAAGGTTACGTTTGCTCTCTGAGAGGTAAGGATGAATGAAAAGACCAGCCATGGGGATATCAATACCATCTGGCTATCCTGTCGGTGGGGAGAGGTGATGGTGTCTTAAGGGCGCCTGCCCTGACCCTTCCCCCCAATCTTACCCGGGGACCGAGAGGAAAAGATGAGAAACTCTAATGAAATTTTTGTGGTTTTCGGGTATAGAAACCCTAACAAAGCCTCTTGAAGATCTGACAAGGTTCCATCGATAGATGCAGCTTTCAGAGTCACAAACATCATGCAAAATAGGTCAAGAGAGAAAGAGACAGAGACAGAGACATAGGGAGGGGCAGAGAGATAGATAGAGACAGACAGACAGACAGAGAGAGAGAGAGAGAGAGAGAGAGAGGGAGAGAGATAAAAATGCAGAGGAAGATATCTGGGGGGCCACTAGCATATGCCCAGGTGGGTACGAGAGACAGAAAAGACAGACAGAGAAAGAGAGAGCAGGAAGGAGGAGAAGAAGAGAGAAGGGAAGGGTAGGGGAAACCCACTTCAATGCTGCATACTCTTATTCTAGCTGATGTGAGACAATGTGGCACGTCACATTGTCACATCACAGCCCTGGCGGAATAATAAATAGAATAATTAATAATAATAATAATAATAAAGAGAAGGATAATCATAATCATAAACAAGGGTGATGGACTTTGGACGTTGAGAAGACAGTGACATGTTCTATGCATCTCCTTAGCTGAGAAGTGGATGCAGCCTTCGGACCTTACCCAGTAGAACATGAAGGCAGAGGGTGGGTTTCGGGGCCTCTGTTTTCTGAAGGCGGAAGCCCCCTCCTTTGGGCATCCTGATGGAGAGGCCTACCCTCTGCCCAATACCCCAGAGGGACTTTTTTTGGTGAGAGGTAAAGGATCATGGGATTTCTATTTAGACAGGGAAGGCATCTTAGAGACAGACCATTTAGTCCAACTCCCACAATTTACAGATGGGGAAGCCTAGGCCCAGAGAGAGGAACAGGCTTCCTGGAGGCCACACAGCAGCACCGGGATTCAAACCCAGGACTTCTGACTCCAATTGCCGTACTCTTTTCCACTCTATCAGGTTGGTACAAATCCTCTTAGGAAGCCAGGAGATGTAAAATCTTCTCTCCCAGAGCAAGGCTTAAGCTGCAGCACAGAAGAGCCAGGGTAAATTTTTTGGAAGAACCCTTGTCCTCTGGGGAGGCTTGCTAAGTAGGCAGTGAAGGAAGAATGCCATCCCTAGAGCCAGCAGCATGGCAGAGTACGGAGAGTTCAGTCGGGAGGTGTGGGCTTGAGTCCTGGTTCTATATGATGACCATGGCCAAATTATCTTAATTCTCCAAGCCATAAGTCTCCTTATCCATAAAATGGGAATAGTGAAGCTTGGCCCACCTCCACTCTAAGGTCCTTGAGCATCATCATCATTATTATAAGAGTCATTATATAAGAACCAGTAATACCTCCCCCTTCCTCTACCACTTTTGTCCCCATCCAGGTCCACACTCGGGCAGCTAAGGTCTTATCACCGCCATTTTATACATGTGTTTACTGAAGCCCAGAGAACTCAAGTGGCTTGCCCAAAGTTACTCAGCAAGTCAATGGCAGAGCCAAGACTGGGATCCAGGGCTCCTGATTTCCAGGCCAATGGTCCTGCTGCTCTTCCAGTTTTTACGTCCTGGGTATGGGCTGGAAGGTAATCCCACCCAAAAACAGGGGGATGGACAAGATGGTCCCCACATCTTGGCAAAGAAGGGGCAGGTGAGGGGCCTTTGGGGCTTGGCTTCTATTGGAGTTAATGTCAAAGGTTCATGGATTGAAGAGAGTGAGGGTGGAGGGGATAAATTTGGGGAGTTCAGGGAGTACACTATTCCCCCTTCCTCTCTGGCTCCAGGGAGGGGGTGGTCATGGGTCACAGGAGCTCTTGGTTGAGCAGCTGGGGCCTGAGGGTCTGGTTTTCAAGCTCCTGAGCCTCTACTGGCCTCATCCTTTAAAGAGGGGGAATGGAAAAGGGGCCCATAGCTGCTGGGAGCACAATAAGGGGATGGGAGTCTTGGGGTCCCAAGCAGACAAAAGTCCCTGCGGGAAGGAGAGGAGGAGGCCCAGGAAGCTCTGCTGGGCAGGAAGCTCCCAGCGTTTCAGAAAACAGAGTCCCACGAAAGCCCTGAGAGTCACACCGGAGACAAGATGGAGAGAAAGTTTAAATGGAACCCAAGAGAAGGGCATGCAGATGGAGTGGAGGTGTCGGGGGCAGGATGAGTCTTCCAGGGGGGCAGTGAAGGGGTGGGGGAGGATGCGGTGCGGAAAGGAGATATGTAACTTTCTGGAGGAGAGCCGGGGGCCATGGAGGACAGAAATGAAGGGAACGCCACTGGACAGAATCCAGTCAGCATAGGGCATCCACAGCAACGTACAAACACCAGCAGGTGGGATGCGAACGCTGAGTTGTCATGGAAACAGACACGACAGGAAATTCAAACTGAGGATTAATTAATCAAAGACAAAAAACAGAACTGACTAAAAAAAAACTAAGAGAAAGCATATCGGATGGGTGTGTGGGTGCTGAAAATCGGGGTCTGAAAGGAAAAGGGCTACTATTTCCCTGGGGAGGGGGCCCCCCTGGCAGAACACAAACCTAGGCCCCGGGCTGGCCCTGGGCCCGCCACCTCCAGGGACGAGGAAGGCCTAGAATGACAGGCTAGCAGGGACCAATTTTCTTGGGCTTCCTTCTGGGACCCCAGCAAGCATTCTTTTCCATCTGTGACTCGAGGATTGGAGGGGCCAGGCAAAAGTAGAGGGGGCTGCCTCTGGGAGAGAGACCCCCCTGCTGAATGAGAAGAGGCAATTGAGATTGGGGAATTTGAAAGCTGTGCCTTTCAAGCCGGCCTTAGTGATTGGGGCCACAGTGCATAGGACGGGAGGGATCTTTCTGGAGAAAAAACTAGGCAAACCAGCCCAGGCCTCAGCGTATTCCCCCAACCCCTACACTCCATTAAAACCCTCTGTGCAGGGAGCTCTTTCTTACCCACAATGGGTCCTTACTCTGCCCTTAGGGAGGAAGGTAGTATGGGGATCCTAGAGACAAAAAGAAGGGACCCTAGAGATCACCTTGTATACTCCTCTAATTTTACAGATGGGGAAACTGAGGCTCATAAAATGGAAGAGACTTTCCTAAAGGTCACACTGATTGGCAAAGCTAGGATTGGAGAGCAGGTCCTCCCAAATCCAAACGCTTTCTGTTATAATCCAGGCTGTGGTTTTGAACGGTGTGAAAGATGTAGGAAGAGCACCAGATCAAGTAAGGCGCAATTCACTGTTGTCTTTGGGGAGGTGGGAATAGGGCCAGGTAGAAGGCCATGGAAGGGGCCAGTGGTCAAAAATAAAGGGCCCCCAGCGATAGGAACTCAGCCGGACCTGGGTCGGGATCCTTGGGCCACACTCTAGATGAGGCGACCAAGACACAGGAGCAACAGTGAAGAGAGGTGGCCATGAGGGTGAGTGCAGACGCTAGCAGAGGGCTCCTCCCCACGGCAAAGGGCGGGTCCCATTCTGGGCCGGGTTCAGAAAGTAGAGCAATGCCCGAGTGCGAACAGGGTGGTCTCATGGCTCTCGGGCCGCCCTGTGACTCTGCCTTGGTGGAAGTGTCTGTTCTCAATTGATCGGATGGCTAGCTTATAGAGTGGTTCTCATCAACATATCCAAGGTGTGTTTTAAAAAATTATCTCGCTTAGCCAAAGGGTCATAAAGCTAACAAGGAATAGTTGGCATTTGAACCTAGGTCCTCTGGTTTCAAATCTAGGTCTCTTCTCTCCATACCAGACCATATGGCATGTCCGAGTCGGAAGGATCCTTCAAAACAAAGGTTCTTAACCTGGGGTCCATGAACCCCAAGGGGGTCTGTGTATAGGTTTCAGGTAGTCTGTGGGTTTTTTAAAAAAAGAATTTGCTAAATAATTAGTTTCCTCTTTTATCCTATGTATTTAAAAACATTCTTCTGAGAAGGGGACCACAGGTATTTCTAGACTGACCACCAAAGGGATCCAGGACACAAAAAAGGTTAAGTATCCCTGACTCAGAACAGAGAAGACAAGAATTGAGACCACCTAGTCCATCCTCCCCCAACGTTGCTGACAGATGAAGAACATGAGGCAGAGTGAGTGGTGAGCAACTTGAATCCAGGCCCTGGGACTCCAGCTAGAGGGCTGATTCACTCTGCCATGTGAGCGTAGCTCATCTCTTTGTGCCTGATGGACTCTCTACTCAGCTTTCTCTCCAGAGGTATTTCATCGTATCTTAAGCCACACTTAAA